TTCGCTGGTAAGAAACACAAGTTTGTGTCGTGAATTGGCCATTGGGGTATCAAATAATCCAAAGATCTTATGTTAGCCTATATTTAGTTTCTGCATATGTTTCGCTAACGTATATGTTTGCAACGACCCTAAATTAAAAACGGCTGCGCAGGAGACTATTAGACTATAGCTGTTAATTTGAATACAAACTCTGGCTTTGGAATATTCTTCGACGTTTCCAGCGAGGCCTTTCTTCAAGACAACCAAGTCAGCTCTACACACGCAAAAATCTCACATCTTCTAACAAATCTGCCAACAAGCCGTCAACAAGATGTATTCGCACTGCGTGTCTCAAGTTGCTAACAAGTTTGGAAACAACTTTTTGACAACTTGTAACAACCTTGTCGAAATTATCAGACTTGTTGCAAGGTTGTTCTGACAAGTCCGTTACATGCTTGATATAACAACCTTGTAACATCCTTGTTATATCATAGCTGTAACAAACTTGTTAGCACAACCTTGCAACAAGGCTGATAATGCCATCAAGCTTGTTACAAGTTGTTAACAGCTTGTTTCAAACTTGTTACTACAAACTGGGAACAAGCAGTGCGAAAACAACTTGTTGACAGCTTGTGAACAGATTGTAACAGCTTGTTTGCATACTTGTTACAACTTGTGCGTTTTTGCGCGTGTATATAAAACTAATGTGTTCCGAAAAATGTGTGCATGAATACCCTATATATTCACACGCAATCTATTTGATTAAAACCTATAGGAAACATGTTATAATATGAAAAAGGAAATGTGACACTTAAAAGCATTTTTGTTTATATTTGTGTACCTTTTTGCACTTTGTCTTCGCGGTCTTGTATTTTTTGCCCCTTATGCTGTTTTTAAATTCTGCTCAGTGACCTTCTCTTTGATCAACCCATAAGTTGCATCACGCCCTTTAGCCTGGTTTCCATATGGTCGTAACGGTCGTAAAGACTGAGTCACGAATTTTCTCATCAGCCGAAATACAACATTTGAGAACTGAAAATACGCGGAGTGATTAGAACTGGAGAATACTCACGATTTATATGCGGTTTACAGGTATAAACTATTATATCGTGACTCTCTATTATATCGTGACTCTTATATAAGATCTTGACTCTATATTTGTACGACCATTACGACCATATGGAAACCAGGCTTAATGCATGTGCCCAACTTTATTATTTTACTCAGTCTAATGTATACTTTCATAAAAGATGTAATACATCTATAAAACATGTATGCTTTCAAACATCAAACCTCGCATCAGACTTTTTAGTTCCACAAGCAAAACTTTCATTTATTGCATAGGCGAAATTTTTCAGTTTTGACAGCAAAACTAATTGTTTTGCAGCGTTTAATGAAAGCTTTTCAAATGGTTGTAAAACGTTTAAAATGGATAAAAACTAGTATTTTCGACTTTCGACCCTAGACAGCTGGACTTTCAACCCTTGACCTATTATGACCCTCGACAATTATCTAAACTTATCAAGTTGCATCGCGCCCTAATGTGCCCTACTTTATTGATTTACTCCCTCTAATGCCAGACAATTTTATTCGTCAAGGAAAGACTACTGGCGCTCAATGGACGACTTGCGCTTTAGACTAAATTTTAATCTATGTAAGAACAACGAAATCTATCACCACAGCTGGAAAGAGCGTCTTGGAATTAGTAATATTACAAAAGTTTGGTTGCGAAATGTTGTAAAATACGGAAATATAGCCCTTCAAAGTTGGCAAATTTGTATACTTCTGTATTACGTGCGTGATTTGGTAACTAAATTAGTTACCAATTTCCGCACGTAAATACGTAATACAAATGTATGCAAATTTGCGAACTTCGCAGGGCTATATTTTCCGTATTTTACATCATTTCGCAACCAAACTTTGCAGTTTTTCTAATTTTGATAACTTCCTTCAGAAAAGATCCTTTGTTATTCCCAGATTAAAAATTTTTCTAAAGCATAAGACGTCCATTGGTTAACACAGAAACATAGAAAACTGAGTTGAACAGCAAATATATAAGTGTTTAAGAACGAACTTCCTCTAAGCCTCGTGTTAATAATTATATATTTTGTGTTCAACGCATAGACCACGGTAATTGTAATCTTATCTACCGAAACATCGTTTGTTGATGTAATAAACATATAAACACATTTAAAAAAGTCTTACCGTGGTGTCTATACATTGAACACAAAATATACTAAATATATAATATTGACATATTACAAAAGTGGTAGTAACTAATTAATTTTACAATCAAGTGCAATTGCTGTTAATCATATAGAGGTCGTAGTTATTTTAGGCAAAACTAAATTAATTTTTAATTTGCAAATTAAATGGTTTACTACCATTTAGTAAAAGGAATCGATTACACATAAAAAATTACAAAATTAACTTATTAAAAATATCAATTAATACCCCAAATTACCACGTTATTTATCTGTCTGTACAAGCACATGAGTTTTTATTTGGCTGTCACATTTGCAATAGCCGAAACAGTGGCGGCGCCAAGGGGGGGGGGGGGCAAG